CTCCCTATGCTGTCCAGGTTGGTCTTGAACTTCTGGTCTCAAGCAATCCTCTTGCCTCAACCTTTCAAATTGCTGGGATTACAGGCATTGAGCCATCATGCCCAGCCATGGTTTAACTACTTGATTTGTCCAAAGCTACTCAGAAAGTGGCAGAGCTAGGGCTTTCATTTAGGCAGGCTGATGTCTGAGATCATGGTCTTATTATAATAACAACAAGATATAACCAATGATTTATTACATCTTACTATGTACAGGACTCTTTTTTTTTTTGGAGATGAAGTTTCACTCTTGTTTCCCAGGCTGGAGTGCAATGGCGCAATCTTGGCTCACCGCAACCTCTGCCTCCCAGGTTCAAGTGATTCTCTTGCCTCAGCCTCTCGAGTAGCTGGGATTACTGGATGCACCACCACGCCCAGCTAATTTTGTATTTTTAGTAGAGATGGGGTTTCTCCATGTTAGTCAGGCTGGTCTCGAACGCCCAACCTCGGAAAATTGCCCGCCTCGGCCTCCCAAAGTACTGGGATTACAGGCATGAGCCACCGCACCCGGCCCTACCAGGACTTTTCTAAACCCTTTATATACAATAACTAATTTAATCCTCATACCAGCCTTATGAGGCAAGTACTGTTATGATCTCCTTTTACAGGCTCAGATCCAGCCAGTTAGGACAGCACAAACACACACACACTATTGTAGGACTTTGGTCCCTCCCCTGCCCTCAGGCTGCTGGGCTCCTCAAGACCCTATCCACCCATGTACCCACCCCCTGCTATCTAGGTAACTCACAGCTAGGCTTGGCACTGCCCCTGGCCTGTCGTGCATGCCAGACTGTCATGCCGTCATTCTGAAGTCTGAAGTATCTCAGCTTCTTCCAGCTTTTGGACCTCACCTTGCGCATCAGCATGCCTTCCTGCATTAGCAGCAAGTCCTGATCGGTGGTCAGCCCTAGGTCAGGAAAAGCATGGGCTAGGTAGCCAGCAGAGAGGGTATTCGGCCCCGGGAGAGCTCTGGAACAGGGGTCCAGCCTCCTTCCCTTCCCTGAGCTGTAACCTAACCCCTGTTCCCCGGCAGGGGCACTCACGGTCTTGCAGCAGGGACGCCATCACTCACTGTTCCACCGGCTGGCACCAGAGTCCTCTAAAGAAGCAAGGAAGAGCAAAGAGCTCTGGGTGAATCTTGAAGATCAAGGAAGAGAAAGAAACCAGTGTTTCCTGAGTGCCCACTATGTGCCAGGCACTTCAGCTACATAGTCTATAGCTGATTTTTGCTTCTAATTTTGAGTTTAGTGACTCTGAGACTTTAGATAGGTTAAGATCAGAATTTAAACCAAGGTATATCTGATCCCAGAGCCTCCACTATTTTCCATGGCTTTCTTTAGAGAGAATTAAACCAAAGTGTCTGCCAAGCACCCCCTTCCTACCCAATACCCCACAGACTACTAGTGCCACGTTTTGCTCACTCCACACCCTCTCATTATTAGGAACCAACTAATAATGATTAGGAACCAACTAATAAAAAGACATGCTGGATGTCTTTTTCAGGAACTAGAATCTCTCCACACCCTGGCCTTCTCATTTCCAGGTGGAAGCCTTCCAGCTTCCCTATTCTGGGAGCCCTCTCTATGCTCCCACGTAGATTGTCCAGCTCCTGAGGGGCTAGAGCAGACTGTTTTCTCTTTGACAACACTTACATGTCTTCTACATTCACGCGGTAGAACATATTTTATAATTTTTCTTTACAGTTATTCTCATGGTTTTAATGGACCAAATAAATTACACACGTCCCAGAACTACATTTTTAAATTTTCTCTACCTACCAAAAAAGAGTGCCTTTTAAGAGATATGCTGTCAGCCGGGCATGGTGGTTCATGCCTGTAATCCCAGCACTTTGGGAGGCTGAGGCGGGCAGATCACCTTAGATCAAGAGTTCAAGATCAGCCTGACCAACATGGTGAAACCCCGTGTGTCTATTAAAAATACAAAGTCAGCCAGGCATGGTGGTGCATGACTGTAATCCCAACTACTCGGGAGACTGAGGCAGGAGAATCACTTGAACCTGGAAGGTGGAGGTTGCTGTGAGCCGAGATCACGCCATTGCACTCCAGCCTGGGCAACAAGAGTGAAACTCCATCTCAAAACAGATAGACAAACAAAAACATCTGTATCCATATGACATGTGGTCATAAGAGAGCCAGTTCCTTCCTTCCTTCTTTCTTTTTTTCTTTTTTTGAGATGGAGTCTCACTCTGTCACCCAGGCTGGAGTGCAGAGTGGTGCAATCTCAGCTCACCGCAATCTCCACCTCCTGGGTTCAAGTGATTCTTCAGCCTCAGCCTCCCAAGCAGCTGAGATTACAGGTGTCCGCCACCACGCCCAGCTGATTTTTGCATTTTTAGTAGAGATGGGTTTCACCGTGTTGGCGAGGATGGTCTGGATCAGAGGACCAGTTTCAAATCAGGGAGCCATAGAAGGTCAGGGCTGGATTTCATTTTATAGAAAAGGAGCCTGAGAACTAGAAAGGTTAGGTGAACTAAAAAGAATTAGTGGGCCAACAAACATGGAGAAAAGCTCATCATAACTGGTCACTAGAGAAATTTAAATCAAAACCACAATGAGATACCATCTCACGCCAGTTAGAATGGCGATCATTAAAAAGTCAGGAAACATCAGATGATGGAGAGGATGAGGAGAAATAGGAACACTTTTACACTGTTGGTGGTTGCATAAATCAGTTCAACCATCGTGGAAGACAGAGTGGCAATTCCTCAAGGATCTAGAACCAAAAATACCATTTGACCCAGCAATCTCATTACTGGGTATATACCCAAAGGATTATAAATCATTCTCCTATAAAGATACATGCACACATATATTTATTGCAGCACTGTTCACAATAGCAAAGACTTGGAACCAACCCAAATGCCCATCAATGATACACCGGATAAAGGAAATGTGGCACATATACACCATGGAATACCATGCGGCCATAAAAAAGGGTGAGTTCATGTCCTTTGCAGGGACATGGATGAAGCTGGAAACCATCATTCTCAGCAAACTAACACAAAAACAGAAAACTAAACACAGCATGTTCTCACTCATAGGTGGGAGTTGAACAATGAGAACACATGGACACAGGGAGGGGAACATCACACACTGGGGCTTGTTGCGGGGCAGGGGCTAGGGGAAGGATAGCATTAGGAGAAATACTTAATGTAGATGACAGGTTGATGGGTGAAGCAAACCACTGTGGCACATGTATACCAGAACTCAAAGTATAATAAAAAATAAAAATAAATAAAAGACCAGGCATGGTGGCTCATGCCTGTAACCCCAGCGCTTTGGGAGGCTGAGTCAGACAGATCACGAGGTCAGTTGTTCAAGACCAGCCTGGCCAACATAGTGAAACCCTGTCTCTACTAAAAATACAAAAATTAGCTGGGTGTGGTGGCATGTGCCTATAGTCTCTGCTACTTGGGAGGCTGAGGCAGGAGAATCTCTTGAACCTGGGAGGTGGAGGTTGCAGTGAGCCAAGACTATGCCATTCCACTTCAGCCTAGGCAACAGAATGAGGAGGTTGCAGTGAGCTAAGACTATGCCATTGCACTCCAGCCTGGGCAACAAGAGTGAAACTCCATCTTAGCGAGGACAAAAAAAGAACCCAGCCTCCATACCTCCATACAGCCAGCTCAAGGATCTCACAATGACTCTGCTCTTAAAAAGGGCCTTCTCTAGAAAGCAGGTTGAAATAAGGCTAGGAATCAATGAGGGACATCGATATTTTGTCTCTCCTCTCCATCATTTTCTCTTTCTTTCCTTTCTCCCTCTCTCCCTCCCTCCCTCCCTCCCTCCCTCTCTCTCTCCTTTCTTTCTTTTTTTTTTTTGGACATGGGGTCTCACTCTTGTTGCCCAGGCTAGAGTACAGTGGTATGATCTCGGCTCACTGCAAACTCCGCCTCCCGGGTTCAAGCAATTCTCCTGCCTCTGCCTCCTGAGTAGCTGGGATTACAGGCATGGGTTACCACACCCGGCTAATTTTTGTATTCTTAGTAGAGACAGGGTTTCTCTATGTTGGCCAGGCTGGTCTCAAATTCCTGACCTCAGATGATCCACCTGCCTTGGCCTCCCAAAGTGCTGGGATTACAGGGGTGGGCCACTGTGCCCGGCTTCTTTCATCTCATTTTCTTTCTTTTCCCCATCCCATGCCTGACCTGGTCCTTTTTTTTCTTCCCAGTTCACCATAAAAATACTTTTTTTTCCTGAGATGGAGTTTTGCTCTTGTTGCCCAGACTGGAGTGCAATGGAGCAATCTCAGCTCACCACAACCTCCGCCTCCCAACTTCAAGTGATTCTCCTGCCTCAGCCTCCCAAGTAGCTGAGATTACAGGCATGTGCCACCACGCCCGGCTAACTTTGTATTTTTAGTAGATACAGGGTTTCTCCATGTTGGTTAGGCTGGTCTCAAACTCCCAACCTCATGTGATTTGCCTGCCTTGGCCTCCCAAAGTGCTTGGATTACAGGTGTGAGCCACTGTGCCTGGCAGAAATAATTTTTTTAAATTATTATTTGTTTTGTGTGGAGATAGGGTCTCCCTGTATTGCCCAGGTCTCAAACTCCTGGCCTCAAGCAATCCTCCTGCCTGGGCTTCCCAAAGTGCTGGGATTACAGGCGTGAGCCATCATGTCTTGCCCCATCTCCACCTCTCTCTCCTAATCCTCTCTATGTCTTCCTATTTGCTCACCTAAGTCAGTCTCTCCTCTTCTCATCCTTCTCCTCATCCCTTTTCCCAATCACCTCTTCCAGTTGGTTCCATCTTTTGACTCCACTAATTCCTAATGGCTCTGATTCTCATCTCCTTTGAGAATTTTGAGACTGTGGTCCAGAAGAGAGGACACTTGGGTTCAGAACTCAGTAGCATGGATGTCCCTCTGCCCAGCCTCACTTTTCTCTGTATCCTAGGAGATTGACCAAACAAACTGCACAGACAATGTGAATTAGAACCTAGGTGTTCTAGGTCTCACTGTTTCTTCTGCAGTCTAATGACAGAATAGGAAGGATGCCACAGCTGATGCAGGTGCAGTGAGGAGAGAAGGAGCAAAGGACTTGGGAGTGAGGGCACTGGGAAAAACACTGAGAATGATGTCTGAAAATAAGAGAGGTTGGTCTTAAATATTAATTCCAGACACATATATGGAGATCTTTAATGATATTACCTCTCTAATATAGACATGAAAATAGAGACACCAAATGAGGTGAGAAGTAGCCCAGAGCTGCAGAGCACAATTTGGTCCTCAACTTCTAAGTGACTTCATGTCACCTAGAGATGGACTTTGGCAGAGTTGCCAATGGTACCAAGGAGATTACAGTGGGATTTGGGGTGTCTCAGGTCTCTCTGAGGGGCAAGAAAAAAGAGAATCATTTTGTCTACTCCCTTGCTTCTGAGAAGGTTTATGCCTAACCTGGTTCATATAGAGGACAAAATGGCTCTGGTCACAGGTCATAGAACATTGGCACTTGAAGGTCTTTTTATAATACATCTAATCCAGACATTCCCAGCTACATCAGTAGCCTCTGGAATGTCTTAAAATTGAGATCCCTTAGCCCTACCCAAAAATCTACCAGATCAGAGTTTCCCAGGATGGGGCTCAATAATATATTTTTAACAAGTATATCTAGTACCCAGGCAAGTCTGGAAAACCCTAAACTCTCTCCTATCACAGATCAGGAAGCTGTGGTTAGGGATCCTGTAGCTAGTTAATGGCACAGGCAGAACTAGAAGTAGGTTTTCTTACCAACATAGCACTCTGGTGTGCTAAGAAATTGCTCTGACCCATGTTTAGGCAAAGAACAAGGCATAAAACTCAAACCCTGACTCTTTTTAAGGAACTCTATAACTCTCCCTATTACTAGGGATCTCTGATTCCCCATGATTCTTGGCCAACCCCTATTTTGCAATCCTCAACAATCTATTAATGAATCTACGCTAAATCATAGTTACTTCAACTTTCTCTTCCCTTATTGGTGGTGGGACTTATCTCAGGAGTGGCTAGGGTTGGCACTCCTGGCCCTGCATAGCTAAGAGGTACCTCATACAAAGGGATACTGACACAACCAGGAGGAAAGCTGTAATCAAGGAGGATAAGCTAGAGAGAACCGGGAGGTGGGAGCCCTGTAGAGCTGTTAGGGTGAGGAAAGGAGTCTAGGGTACAATTTAACCAGTGTGAGTGAGCATCTAGAGGGCAGAGATAGGGATTCAGGGAAGACAGAGCTTGGAGCAGAGGCTAGTCAGAGCTTCCAGACTCTTACCGTGGGCAGGAGGGCCAAATAGCAGTCCTGTGTCTGTGCAGAATAGCAGGCCTGTGTCTGAACTGTGCCTCCCGAGTTCCGTGATGCTGTGGGATCAGGAAGCCCAGCCTGGCTCCTTTTCTCTTTTGCTCCCCTTGGCACTGGCTTTTTTCCTCCCCTCTTCTACCGCAGCTGGCTGCCGTGACTGGCAAGTTATAGCCGGAGGGAAGCAGTAAGAAGGGGAGAGGTGTGAGCTCTCTCCAGTCCAGCCCATCCAACTCTTAAAGGCCCAGGACGCTGGTCAATGTGAGGGACTAGTGGGGGTGGGGTGGAGAGGATTAAGGGCACCACATCTCCAGGGAGGAGGAGCCTGGCTGCCTGTCATCTTGATGCCAGCCCTCATTGACCCCAATCCCGAAGGAGCTCTCAAAGTGACGGGAGTGTCCTCAGTTGCAGTGCTCTGTGAATCACTGCTTTTCATTCTGGTCCCTGCATGTAATACCATTGTCTCTGCCCTTATTTAATCTGGCTCCTTTCCACAGTGTCTGTTTCCACTGGCCTGCTCTTCTATCTCTGAATCCTGCCTTGCAGGTCACTCAGTCTAGCTCTGTCGCACAGGGAAAGTAAGAAATAAGTTGGGGAGGCCGGGTGCGGTGGCTCAAGCCTGTAATCCCAGCACTTTGGGAGGCCAAGGCGGGTGGATCACGAGGTTAAGAGATCGAGACCATCCTGGTCAACAAGGTGAAACCCCATCTCTACTAAAAATACAAAAAAAAAATTAGCTGGGCATAGTGGCGCATGCCTGTAATTCCAGCTACTCAGGAGGCTGAGGCAGGAGAATTGCCTGAACCCAGGAGGTGGAGGTTGCGGTGAGCTGAGATCGCGCCATTGCACTCCAGCCTGGGTAACAAGAGCGAAACTCCGTCTCAAAAAAAAAAAAAAAAAAAAAAAAGGAAATAAGTTGGGGAAAGAGAAAGGCAGGACAGGAATGACGGTAGAGTATAGAGGGACAGATAGATTAGTGTCTATGTATATTTTAGGCATTCATTAAATATTGAAAGAATGCATAGATGAATGTGTGAAACAATTCTTTTTTTTTAAACATCCATTCATTCCTCCTACAAGCATTTGTTCTGCACCTCCAGGTTATAGGTCATAGCCCCAGAAAGGAGGTAGCATCTTCAGGACATACAAGCATGTTAATAAAGGTGTGTGCAGAGCAGAGATGAAGCTTAGGTTCAGAGGGTACTGTGGAAAATGGTGTAATTTTAAGTGTGCTGAGATCTGGCTGCCTCTCATGGTTCCCATAAGCATCCCTCAACTGCCTAATACTTTACCATTAGTGATTATAGCTATATATTTTTAGTCCCATTAAAATAAAATCCTCCTAAGTGATTACCATAAAAGTCAGGATAGTGGTTACTGTTGGGAGGGGGAGGAATTGTGATGAGATGGGACACAGAGCTAGCTTCTGGCATAGCCAGCCAAATGCTGCTTGTAGTCCTAAGTGCTATTTCTAGTCCTAAGTGCTTCACTTCATAATTTATTAAGCTATATATTCTCTTCATGTAGTTTCCTGTGTTTTTAATTTTTTAAAAATCTCATTAAAAATATCACATATCTGTGTTAATTTTTGAAGGCTTAAGGATTTTAAATTTTTTTTTTTTTTTTTTTGAGATGGTGTCTCACTGTTGGCCAGGCTGGAGTGCAATGGCGTGATCTCGACTCACTGCAACCTCTGCCTCCTGGATTCAAGCAATTCTCCTGCCTCAGTCTCCCAAGTAGCTGGGATTACAGGAACATGCTGCCACCCTTGGCTACTTTTTTTTTTTTTTTTTTGTATTTTAGTAAAGACAGGGTTTCAACGTGTTGCCCAGGCTGGTCTTGAACTCCTGAGCTCAGGCAATCCACCCGCCTCTGCCTCCCAAAGTGCTAGGATTACAGGCATGAGCCATTGTGCCCAGCCTATTTTAAATAATGTTTTAAAAATTTAATCCCGAGGTCAAAGTAGATTTTAAATAATTTATACTTAGGTTTGGTTGACTATACTCTTTACTGAGAGCCGGTTTTGATGGAAGAAGCGTAGTTTGAAGGAAGGGGAGGCATTAGGAGGGAGGCCATTCATGGGGAACAGGAAGATTGGGGGGCATCATAGTGGAAACTGTGCTGATTTCAGATTTGACTTAATAGAGGCCCTGTTTCACATGCCTGTCTTGCTCTCCCATTTCTACTTTCCCAACATGGCCAGCTTATTTTTCCAAGCCTCACCTTCACAGTCCACACTCCTCTTCTACACCACTGGATTATATACCATTTTTCTGAGTTACTATTTGCAAACTCAATGCTGCCCAACCTCCTTCCCTCCTGGGTGATCTTAAGGATGTTATCAATCATAGTGGATTTTCTGGGAGAGTCTAGATTTCAAATATTCTGTTTCAATGTTCTCATGAACACACCAGTACTCCCCAGCCCATATGTTCTGATTTTTGGGACAGGGACTTGGAGACTTTCACAAGGTTAGTATGGTTCCAGAGTGCCACCATGATCCTGGCTGGCCCTTCCCCCACTGTTGTCTATTATTAACAGATCCAGAAACCTGATCAGGCCAGTAGCAGCAGAGGGACTTTCTGGGAACCATGCCCAGGAAAAGCCTAGAAGCCCTAAACTGAAATGAAGCAGCAGCTGGCAAAGAGGAAGACCTAAACATGGTACTCTTGCCCTGCCACCTAGACCCTCCCTCCTCTTGACATCCAGAGCAGAGGCCACCCAATTAAACGTCTCCGCTTGTCAGGGTAGAAAGTCAGTTCCCCAACCTATCCAACTATACTACTCAAACTTCTGAAATAAAGCCAACTCCTTTCTGGTCAAAAAGGAAACTCAAAACAGTAAATTCCATTTTAAAATCAATGTAGAGCCAGGCACAGTGCCTCACATCTATAATTCCAGCACTTTAGGAGGACAAGGTGAGAGGACTGCTAGAGCCCAGGAGTTTTACACAAGCCAGGGCAACATAGCAAGACTCCATCTCTTAAAAAAAAAACCATCGGTTTCTTTTTTTTAAGAGACGGAGGTGTGGTGGCTCACGCCTATAATCCTAGCATTTGGGGAGGACAAGGTGGGTGGATCACTTGAAGTCAGGAGTTCGAGGTCAGCCTGGCCAGCATGGTGAAACCCCCGTCTCTACTAAAAATACAAAAATTAGCTGGGCGTGGTGGTGCATGCCTATAATCCCAGCTACTCCGGGGGCTGAGGCAGGAGCATTGCTTGAATCTGAGAGGCAGAGGTTGCAGTGAGCTGAAATGGCGCCATTGCACTCCAGCCTGGGTGACAGAGCGAGACTCTGTCTCAAGAAAAAAAAAAATCATCAATATGAGACCACCTGTAGAATTAAAAGCCAGGAAATAGCCCGGTGCAGTGGCTCACGCCTGTAATCCCAGCACTTTGGGAGACTGGGGTGGGCAGATTGCGAGGTCAGGAGATCCAGACCATCCCGGCTAACATGGTGAAACCCTGTCTCTACCAAAAATACAAAAAATTAGCCAGGCGTGGTGGCACATGCCTGTAGTCCCAGCTACCTGGGAGGCTGAGACAAGAGAATCGCTTGAACCCAGGAGGAAGAGGTTGCAGTGAGCCAAGAATGCACTGCACTGCATTCTGGGCAACAAGAGCGAAACTCCGTCTCAAAAAAAAAAAAAAGAATTGCTTGAACCCAGGAGGCCGAGGTTGCAGAGAGCTGAGATCGTGCCACTGCACTCCCACCTGGGTGACAGAGATTCTGTCTCAAAAAAAAAAAAAAAAAAGTTGGGACAGGTGCGGTGGCTCACGCCTATAATCCCAGCTGACTTTGGGAGGCTGAGGCAGGTGGATCACGAGGTCAAGAGATCCAGACCGGGCCGGGCGCGGTGGCTCAAGCCTGTAATTCCAGCACTTAGGGAGGCCGAGGCGGGTGGATCACGAGGTCAAGAGATCGAGACCATCCTGGTCAACAAGGTGAAATCCCGTCTCTACTAAAAATACAAAAATTAGCTGGGCATGGTGGTGCGTGCCTGTAGTCCCAGCTACTTGGGAGGCTGAGGCAGAAGAATTGCTTGAACCCAGAAGGCGGAGGTTGCGGTGAGCCGAGATCGTGTCATTGCACTCCAGTCTGGGTAACAACAGCGAAACTCCGTCTCAAAAAAAAAAAAAAAAAAATTATCTGGATGTGGTGGTGCACGCCTGTATTTCCAGCTACTTGGGAGACTGAGGTGGAAGGATTGCTTGAGCCCAGGAGGTTAAGGCTGCAGTGAGCCATGATGGCTCCACTGCACTCCAACATGGGTGACAGAGACCCTGTCTCAAAAAAAAAAAAAAATTGCCTTGGCTGTTCTGGCAAAATTTTAGAGTGGGCTTACTACTTTTCAGAAAATAAACCTGCTGGGATTTTACTTGGAACTGAGTTTAATAAACAGATCAATTTGAGAGAATTGGCATCCTCATAGTATTTTTAATATTGTTTTCCAATCCATGGAGATGATATATTCCTTCAATTATATAGCTCTTTAATTTCTCTCAAAGTTTGTTTTCAAGGTAAAGTTTCTGCACACTCTTTGATATATCTATTTCTAGCTACTTGATTTCCTATGCTTTATAAGCTATTTTTGAAATTTCACTATTTATTATATATGAAAACAAATAATTGACTTTTTCATATATTGACCTTATAGTCTGTGACCTTGCTAAATTCACTTATTACTTCTCCTTTTTTTTTTTTTTTTTTTTTTTTTTGAGATAGAGTCTTACTCTTGCGTAGGCTGGACGTCAGCTCATTGCAACCTCTGCCTCCTGGGTTCAAGCGATTCTCCTGCCTCAGCCTCCTGAGTAGCTGGGATTACAGGCACGCGCCACCATGTCTGGCTAATTTTTGTATTTTTAATACAGATATGATGTCACTATGCTGATCAGGCTGGTCTCAAACTCCTTACCTTGGGATCCGCCCGCTTCAGTGCATCCCAAAGTGCTGGGATTACAGGTGTGACCCACTGCCCCCAGCCTCACTTACTGCTTTTTAGGGGTTTGTAGGTTATTTCAGATTATATACATACGCAATCATGTTGTTAGCAAATACCAAGGGTTTTTTTTCCCTTAAAATCTTATTTCCTAGAGATAGAAAAAAAAAGTGAAAAAAAAATTGCTTTTATTGACTGATAAATGGAGGTGTGATAGTGGACAAATGTGTTTAATTCCTTGTCTCATAAAGAATAATTATAATATCTTATGGTGGTGTGTGCCTGTAATCTCAGCTACTCCGGAGGCTGAGGCAGAACTGCTTGAACCCGGGAAGTGGAGCTTGCAGTGAGCTGAGGTAGCACCATTGCGCTCCAGCCTAAAATGGGGTCCTGCCTAAACTAGTCTTGAATTCCTGCCCTCAGTGTTGGGATTACAGGTGTTAGCCACTACATCGAACCATCATTTGAATTTTCTTAGGGTCTTGCTGTCACCTAGACTGGAGTGCAGTATAGTGTGCATGGTGCATGGTGGCTGACTGGTCTTGAGCTCCTAGGCTCAAGCATCCCCCCACTTCAGTAGCTGGGACTACAGGTGTGCACCACCATGCCTAACTTTCTAATTTTTTGGTGGAGACAGGGTCTCACTGTGGCCCAGTCTGGTCTTAAACTACTGGTCTCAAGCAATCCTCCGACTTTGGCCTCCCAGAGTTGAGATTACAGGCAGGAACCAGAGCCCAGCTTTCCCTTTTTTGTTTTGAGACAGTCTGTTGCCCAGGCTGGAGTGCAGTTGTGCAATCTCAGTTCACAGCAAACTCAGCCGCCCGTGTTCAAGCAATTCTGCCTCAACCTCCCAAGTAGCTGGGACTACAGGCGCATACCACTATGCCTGGCTAATTTTTATATTTTTAGAAATGGGGATTTACCATATTGGCCAGGCTGGTCTCGAACTCCTGACCACAAGTGATCCAGCTGCTTTGACCTCCGAAAGTGCTAGGATTACAGGTGTGAGCCAGCATACTCTGCCCCCAGCTTTCATTATCCTGTAATCAAAAATATCTTCTAGGCCGGGCAAGGAGGCTCATACATACATATATATATTTATTCTATAGTTTCCTTTGTGATTTTTTTTTACCTTTGGGTTATTTAGAACTGTAGTACCTTTTTTATTTTTTGATAGTCTCACTGTCGCCCAGGCTGGAGTGCCGTGGCCTGATCTCGGCTCACTGCAACCTCCACCTCCCAGGTTCAAGCCATTTTTCTGCCTCAGCCTCCCAAGTAGCTGGGACTACAGGCGACCACCACCATGCCCGGCTAATTTTTTGTATTTTTAGTAGAGATGGGGTTTCACTATGTTGGCCAGGCTGGTCTTTAACTCCTGACCTCATGACACACCTGCTTTGGTCTCCCAAAGTCCTGGGATTACAGGCTTAAGCCACTGTGCCTAAGTTTCAAACAGCTAGGGACTTTCCAGTTAGTCTTCTTCGCTTACTCCCACTGTGGTCAGAGAATACTCTATTCAATTTTTTGGAAACGTTTTGAGGCTTGGTGGTCCAGCTATGATCAGTTCTGATAAATACTTAGATGTAATTAAAGAGAATATGTATACTGTTGGCCTATGAGTGTCAATTAAGCCAGGTTTGTTAACTGTGTTATTCACATTTTCTGCTAGTTCATCGGCCACTGTGGCTCATGCCTGTAATTCCAGCACTTTGGGAAGCTGAGGCAGGCAGATCACCTGAGGCCAGGAGTTTGAGACCAGTCTGGCCAACATGGCAAAACCTCATCTCTACTAAAAATACAAAAATTAGCAGGGTGTGGCAGCGGGAGCCTGTAATCCCAACTACTCAGGAGGCTGAGGCAGTAGAATTGCTTAAACCCAGGAGGAGGAGGTTGTGGTGAGTCAAGATTGCCCCATTGTACTTTAGCCTGGGCGACGAGCAAAACTGTTAAAAAAAAAAAAAAAGACAAATTTTCTGCTTGTTATATCTGCTTTTGAAATAAGCTTATCAAAGTATTTTTCCAAAAATTAAATTCCATAATGTATCAGGAAAAATAAATATCATTCATTCTACATTTTCCTATTCCAAATGTTTTAAGTTTTTGATAGCAACAACTTTGTATATTCCCCTTTTCCTAGGCTTTAAGCAGCACAAAGTGAGCAGAGGAGTAATACGTTGACAGTAAGCAAGGCATGCTCTGAAGGTTATCAGTGCTGCTCCTGTTCCACCAGTGAAACAGCCACAGGCCCTCTAAGGCCCCTGAAAACAGCACGTGGAAGCATAGCTCAGTTGTGTCCCACTGAGAGCCAGGCATGGAAACAATCCTGGAGATGTGCTCCAAGCCTTGAACTTGAGGAAATGAAAATTAAAAGTTCATGATAAGACATTTCAAGCATTACTTTTTCACTATGGAAGTCTCTTCCTAAAGTGGCACTAAGTTCTGGCCACTACGGCTAGGAGTGAGGTTCTGTTCCACTTTATCAAGACCAGCTGATAAAGACACTTTTATCATGTATGGGGCATCATCTCCATTCCAGCCTCCCAAATAGCTTTTGTACCTCAGTTGGAGTCTCCACGAATACATGTTCACAAAAGAACCACCACTACCACACTGGCAGGACAGCATGTGTGTGTGTGTTATGTAGGTGGACAGAGGGTAAAAGAGGCATGACGAGGATCACCTGACAAAAGTGCCCATATGTTGACAGAATAACATCTCCAGTGTAAAGGAAAAATTATTTTTACAAAAACAGAAGCATGTTTTATTTCAATCCTGTTGAGGGAGAGGGATGGAAACACAAAATAAGGGGAGGGGTCTCTTTATATAATATACACATCAGGATCAACTACAATGAATAATACCCATTCCACCCCTCCCCCACCAACTCCTATGTGGGGTCCAAGGCCAGCTGAGAACAGATGGGACAAGAATTAAGACACTACTGGCACAGTAACATGGCCAATGCACCGAAAGATGGAGAGAAGAGAAATTCCCAGGGAGCAAGGCCCTGGGCCTCAGCTGCTTCCCCAGTGGAGGGGGAATGAGAAAACTTTGGCTCAGCAGGAAGGCGGTTGTCAAAAGTCAGGGTTACCTTAACAGGACTCTGCAGATCACAGACTATGAACTGAAGACAGTCAAGATGTCTATCCAGTACATTCTGTTCTCTGCTTTCTCTAAGATCCTTTCTCTTTAGCCTTGCAATTATTGAGGGTTAGCCTGGTTCTCCTCTTCATCTTGGAAGACACGGGAATAAGTGCTTATTCTGCCCTTCCTACATCTAGGCTACTTAATTACTATTTTGTTGGCTCTAAAGAGACAGAAGCCAACTAACAAGTCCGGCTCTCTTTGTGAAAGTCGGCTTGAAAGAGCCCTTGTGTTGGCAAAACTGCCTCTGCAAAGGTTTTTTTTTTTTTTTTTTTTTTTTTTGAGCCAGCCCCTTGAAGATCCTCCCTAAACTTGTTCAGACACCTCAATTGTGTGAGATGTGGGCAGAAAAGACTTGGTCCCTCTCTAGAGTTAGATTAAGCAATTCCATCTTTGATTGGAGATGAGGATGAAAAGCAGGTGCTAGTAGGGGGAAGGACTGGGGGAAAGCAAGGCAGTTTACACTAGGTTGCAGATTCAAGCCTGTGGATTGTGAACAGAGCCACCTAAGCTCCAGAGAAGAGGAAACCTCTGACACAATATGAACAAGTGAATATTTTAGTGGCAACCCTGTCATTTCCATATACCAAGAGAATGTGTCAAAAAAAAAAAAAAAAAAAAAAAAGACTGAGTGAGTGAGCAGAATCTAGCCCTCCATCTTCAATCTGAATAAAATTAATGCATACAGCTAATACTGCTCAAGTACAATCATGAAGACAGATGGAGCTGTTGAAATTCACACTAAAACAAAAAATAGGATCAAGTGGCCTGTCCACCTTAATCCCGAGCACCTCCCTTTTAGAGTTATCCAGAAAATATCTTTGAAAACTTGGATTGAAGGTGAGGTCCATCACTGCCCCTTGTCCCCCAATACCATACCCTTCCAAGACAGCCTGATGAATTAAGACGTCTGCTTTAAGTTTAACAGAAGGGAAGTTAAAAAAGGGAAAGCACTGAGATTTGGGAAAACTAGCAGCTTAAGCCAGAAATAAGGTTAAGGTCCTTATGGCATTCCGGATTGGGAGTAGAATGGGAGAAGGAAGGGAAACAGGTGGTGGGTTCCTGCTGTCCTTTGGCTTTACATCTTTCCCCTTCCTCCCATTTCTCCCAAGAGCTTGATGTAGCTATTGGCCTGCCAGAGGGGATGTAATGCCCAGACCAACTTTTTATTGAGCTTATGCAGCTAACAGACTTGTAAACAGTGCCAATTGACAAAGTTTTGCTGAATATTACAGCTTGTGCCCACTAAACACACCTCTCTCTGAGATTAAAAACAAAAAACCAAAGTAAACAAATACTGAGAGAGAATGAAGAGACACATCTTGAGTTGTCCAGGAAGGCAAAATAAAAAATGCCACATGGCTTGGTCCCAGGCGTTCACCATGCCTAGAGTGCTGCTGCTATCACCACCGTCTCCCCTCCCTGCCAGTGGCTAGGTAGAGGTAGGGGAGAAGGGTCATCTTGGACATGCTGCAAATACAGCATTTGCTGGTGTTGACACCCTCCTGGGGCTGTGGTGGCAGACTGCTGTGTCAGGAGCCCATTTCCTGGGAGTAGCAGAGGGGGCCCAGGTCCTCAAGACAGCCTGAGATGGCAGCCCATACACCTCAGCAGGGGTACTTTGCCCCTTTACTCCAGTGCGGTTCAGCATTGAGGTTGTCTATTCCCAGTCGGTGATAAAACCTGAGCTGTTTTCCTCGTAGGTTCCCCCTCCTATCCCCAACTTGGGGGAGTAGTGGGAGGGAACAGGGAAGGATCACTGAGGGGGCAGGGGGATACCCCGGGGATCGGTGACCTGGCCCTCTTGCAGGTTCTTCACCAGTTGTGCAAGCCAGCGTTTCGTGGTGGTGTCATCTTTTAGCACCTGGGCGAAGGTTGTGTCCTTCAGCTGGTCAGGGAGGCACTGCCTGAGTGCTTCACGTGCCCTACATCAGAAACAAACAAACACCAACCAGGGAGACCAACAAATAAACCCACATTTTGTGGACAGGGAAGATCCCCCTTCTTAGACATAAATATTCAGAATACTGTGAATCTATGGCTCCTTAAGAAGCCATTAAAATTCTCTAAACCTATATTAGGCATAGGCTCAGAGACCTCTATATCCACAACCATTTTCTGAATGATGCCCCCACATAGAATTTCATGAAAAAGCAAAATTAAAAGGTTCAATAGTTTACTTCAATTTAAACAGCTTTCTGATTTATTACAGTAAATACTGTTAAAATACTCATGTTAGAAATATATGGATTATAGCAAATAAAATATTTCAAAAATCAGTACATTGACAAGGATATCATCAAACTTGTAACTGAATGAATTTTAATTCTATACTAACTTTTCAGTTTGTATCTACAGAAATTGCTTCAGTTTTATGGTTAAAAACCTTAATAAGAGATGAGCAGTAAAAACAAAACTATGGTAGCAGCATTACATTATCAGATGAACTTTTAAACGTTTCATTTTCTTTGCAAAGATGACCAGCAGAAAGTCAAATCTGAAAACCTAAAAAAGGTAAATCTTAACTACTTGTAGAGCTTTTTTAAAAATACAAAGTTATAGTTTTTGCACTCAGACTAGTTTTCTTTGTACAAGTAGAATTTTAAATAAACACATTTTTAAACTTTGGTGAAAACAAGAACCACTGAAGAACAGGACAAAATGGTCAACAAACAGGTAGGGCTGGAATAAACTCAGTGGCAGGAGACTGAGTTCACATTAAATCAGACTAGCTCTGTTCCTAGAACACAGAAATTGCTCCATTATGTGGTTTAGCAGAATATGAGCAAGTTGCTTTCAGGATGAATTATGGACTTACAAAGCAAAAGGTCAAATATTTCTAAAATGCATTATATCTACAATGTATGATTTCTGGCAGAAAGATTATGAACATAAGCAGATAAAATCATTAGCTCAAGAAACTTATAGGAATCAAGGAGATAACTGGAAATAGAATTCAAGAGCCCCCTGGGCTGTATTCCTTTCTAAGAGATCTTTGAAAATATACTTCTCTTTCTGACCATGTAGAGTAGCAACAGAAAGTTCAAACAACAAGAGTAATGCATCATAAGGCTTCCCTGGAAATTGCCTACTCTGGAATTTCACAGTAGCATTGAGAGTTACAGTGAGAAGATAAAACTCTGATGGCTTTTAAAATTCAGCATTTCAGATTTTAAAAGAAATCTAAGTTCTAGGCTGGGCGCGGTGGCTCACGCCTATAATACCAGCACTTTGGGAGGCTGAGGTGGGTGGACCACGAGGTCAAGAGATCAAGACCATCCTGGTCACAAGGTGAAACCCCGTCTCTACTAAAAATACAAAAATTAGCTGTGCATGGTGGTGCATGCCTGTAGTCCCAGCTACTCGGGAGGCTGAGGCAGGAGAATTGCTTGAACCCAGGAGGTGGAGGTTGCGGAGAGCCAAGATAGTGCCATTGCACTCCAGTCTGGGTAACAATAGTGAAACTCCGTCTCAAAAAAAAAAAAAAAAAAAGAAATCTAAGTTCTGTCTTAGACAAACTAAATGTAGTAGTTATATTTATATCCCCCCTTCCCTCTCCTAAAGACACAGGAATTATGCCAAGGGATTGGGAAACTGTTCAGCAGAGTATTTCACTAAAAAAGTCCTATACAGCCACTAAATGTTTACCTGGGGTTATCTGAGAGTCGAAGGTAACATCTCACTACATGCTTCAGCAGACGGGCAGAAGGTTCTTTGGACAACTGCAGGACCATCTTACCCTGTTTCCCCCCAAATAAAGGGAGGGGTTGGAAAAAACACACAAAACACAAAAAATTCTAATTGACATCAGAAATCAGATAGTCCAAGAATCATACAAGGTTCCAAAATTATTACTTCTAGTCAGAAGACTGGAGTTGTTCAGTGCCAGTTATAAAGAGATTAAACTGTGTGATGAGAAGTACTTGTAAAAGGGATAGATCAAAGAACTCACCAAGATCATGGCAACATGGGAGAAACGCTCATATGTCTGACATATATAAGCCAAACCAGTGTCATCTAACAAGATCTTCTGGAGGATGAATGTGGCAACCTGAAGCAAAATAAAATCGAAGAGTTTATAAAGTTGCTCAGATTTATCTTCTCATTGCCCCAGGCATGATTATCAATCGGAAAATTGAGCAAGCAGGGATCCTTGTATGTTATATACAACTTTAAAATATACGTATAGTACAAATAATAAATATTGTCATAGTGAACATAACTTTGTGCCAGTTTTTTTTCAAGAGGCTTTACATGCTTTTATCTTTTTATAATCAATTCAGCTATGCCTCATCTCTTCCAGATGAGGTAAGACCTTTACTGTTCTTAAAAGATCTTTAAAGCCAGGCGTGGTGGCTCACGCCTGTAATCCAAGCACTTTGGAGGCCAAGGTGGGCAGATCATCTGAGGTCGGGAGTTCAAGACTGGCCTGACCAACATGGTGAAATCCCGTCTTAAAAAAAAAAAAAAAAAAAAAAAAGACCTTTAAGAAGTAAGTCGTCCCCCGCCCCCACCACCACCACCGACGGAGTTTCGCTTTTGTTACCCAGACTGGAGTGCAATGGCACGATCTCGGCTCACCGCAACCTCCGCCTCCTGGGTTCAAGCAAATCTCCTGCCTCAGCCTCCCAAGTAGCCGGGACTACAGGCGAGCGCCACCATGCCCAGCTAATTTTTGTATTTTTAGTAGAGACCGGGTTTCACCTTGTTGACCAGGATGTTCTCGATCTCTTGACCTCGTGATCCACCCGCCTCGGCCTCCCAAAGTGATGGGATTATAGGTGTAAGCCACCGCGCCTGGCCAGAAGTAGTAACATTTTTAAGCTTCTCTTCGATTATTCCGATAGTAATAAAAAATATCCTGACTGTGAAGCTAATAACTAGCCTCAATTTTCCCCTCAACTTAAACTTATTAACTCTTACATAGAAGAGATATTAAGACATTAATTTCATTCAAATCAGACAATCATGATACAATACTCTTTCTTGGCTGCTCATCAGAATGAATTGTGGAATTAATTTACTATTTTATTGGGGTTAAAACACTGTAGTAGGCTGAATAATGGCTCTCAAAGATATCCAGGCCCTAATCACCAAACTCTGCAAATGTTATCTTAAACCAAAAAGCGGACTTTGCAGATGATTAAGTTAAGGATCTCAAGATGGGGGATTATCCTGGTTTATCCAAGTAGGCCTTAAATGTAACCACAAGTATCCTTAACAGAGATGTAGAGAAGGTCAGGCAAAGTGGCCCATGCAGGTAATCCCCGCACTTTGGGAGGCCAAGATGGGAAGACTGCTTGAGGCCAGAAATTCAAGGATGCATTGAGTTATGATCATGACACTGCACTCCAGCCTGGGTGACAGGCAAGACCCCATCTCTTGAAAAAAAAAAAAGAGAGAGATGTAGAGAGAGATTTTACCACAAAGGAGAAAGCAATATGATAAGCAGAGAGAGATTTGAACATGCCACACTGCTGGCTCTGAAGATGGTGGGGGATGGAGGGATGGGACCATAATCCAGGGAATTTAAGAAATGCAGTTCTAGAAGCTGGAAAAGGCAAGAAAACGACTCTCCTTTATATTCTCCAGAGAAA